GCGTCTTTCGATTCTTCCAACATTTTAGATACACACCAGACTTCTTGACTACCACAAATGAGGCGGATCTTCAGTTGTACATGCATATGAATGGTAGTTCATGGTTGTTTCCATTGGCCGCGACAGTTCCAGAAGGATATGCTGGCTAGATGTCATCGAGCCCTTCCGCGACCTCCTTTCGAAAACCTCATGTACTACAGCTGTGTTACAGCTCTTGTGTGAGTTTTAGTTCAGTTTCATAGATTTTCGTTTAAGTCTTGATTCTCCTAATTCTCCTAATTCTTGTAGTTTCTGCCTGGTGTGTGTATTGGCGTGTGCATATTTGGAAGGTGATAGAGCTATCGCTTGTGCTATCCGACAGCATCATTCCACGCCCCGGTCCGTATTCGATTTGAACAACTTGGACTACAAAAGAAATGGCCATCCGTCTTCAGCTGAAGGCAGCGCTCATGGTGGCAACGGGAAAAATAGCGGTACGTACTTCACCTTGCATTCATTCCTTGTGCTGTGTGAATACTAATCCATTACTTCGAACTATTTAAGTTTCTTGGAACGAAGCTCTACCCTCTGGCATACATGTTGCGGCTGATGCTTCGATGATCCTACGAATCTTCTATCAAGCAGCGAATTCTGTGCTGAGAGCAGTGCACTTTGTATGGCGAATTTCGTTGCTCTATAGAAACGACAAGCAGGATCAGCCCAAGAAAGAGAACAAGGTTGGTTACCTCCTCAGTCGAGTTTTTATTTATTTACTTAATTATTTTTTTATTTATACGTACCAACGCGCCCAAGTATAAAGTGTCGATGTAGACTCACAAATTCCTAGTCTTCTTTGTGACTCTGATAAAATGAAACTCTTACAAGTCTTCATCTCATTACCACATTGCGAGCCTTAAAAACAATTCAGTTACAGTACGAGGTTGCACCAAAACTGACACGTCTCTTGCTTCTTTATCTCGCTATTCCGAGTGAAGAAAGTAGTATTCTCTGCAAGTGTGGACAAGGATACCAAATGCACAGAGGCATTTCGCTGATGACTTGATCGCGGGACAGGGATGGGGTCGTATTTGGTCTGAGAGATTTTTTGCTAGTTATTTTGTCTTATTTTACGGACACTATAAAGGGAGGGAGCGTATTCGCTCGTTGTTGGGAGAGGGCAGGGTCGTACCTGCCTTCTGAGAGAAATTTGCGGTTGGGAAGGTTTCTTTCTGGTTTTTGACTTTTCGCGGTTTTTCTTTTTTCACGTGTACTATACAACCCCTCCCCCTCGCTCGGCAGTGTGCTTTATGCCCTCTCCCTTCCCACTGCTGGACAGCTCAATAGTAGAAGTGAACTAGGAGGGGGGGGGCACTCAAGCTACCTTTTAGGGGGGAGGTCGTACAGACTCGACCAAAATCCCCAAATAATGCATTGTGCCCTTCGCTTTTCTCAGGCTTCTGTACAATGTGAGTACCATGGCCCACGCCAACATCAAAATCTAATTATTACACATATATTACAAAAAATTCAAAAAGAGAAACAGTCAACAGCTGAAATACTCCTTACGAGAAGCGTGAGCTAGGTTGGATGGGGTCCAGGAATATACTGAAAGATACTCCAGTAATGACACGGAATACGCAACATTGACTCACGCGATCTCACCCGTTTTACATCCTTAGCGAATGAGTTTGGGAGATAAGGAATTATCAGTGAACGGGCCTGCTGAGTTCCTGATTTATGGGCGCAACAATTTACGCACCTGGCTCCAGCCGTTTTCGAGAAGTCACGCGTCACGTTGTCCATCACTACTGCAACATTTGTGGACGTCAACCTTTGAGCTGCCGTCAAAGCATTCTGAACCATATTCTTCTTCATGAATACAGAGTGGCAATCTCTCGAGTGGATTAAGATGTGCTTCGAAGCAGGTTTCTTATGCCACATGGAAAGTACGTTTTCTTCCGACAATGTTATGCTTAGTGTTCAGAAGGTAAGAAATCATCGTGTTCAGGTTCCTCGGCAGTCACTGCAATAGTTGAGTGCACTGAGTTCAGCTTCATGAAGGTTCGACGTAATGCGTAATTCTTGAAGCACTTTTATACAAAATGTTCTGATAGGTGATGAAGCAGAGCCTGGACCTTGCAATGACCTCTCATTGCCTGTTACCTTTCTGCGGAAGCAGGATGTGTCAGAACTTTTCTATGTTTCGGAGCAAAAACCACCGCGGGGGGGGGGAAGGGGGGCAAAAAAAAGTCACTTCGACCGAGTCACATATCAGCAAAGTTTTCGCTGCCCAGAGAGAAGACGTGGATACGAGTACCAGGGCGAAAGATACCCAAGATGTTCCTCGATAAGCAGGAGCTGGCCTTCGCCCTCGATCACCTTGAATGTACAGCCAAACATATGAAGTCATCGGTTCCAGTCGCAGCGCTGACTGGAGAAGACCTTTGGAATTCATGTCAGCTGCGAAACTTCTAGTATGGAGTCACCCATGGATAGCTACCTGGAGACCAGTACTCTCGATCTGGATGACCTCCAACATCGAGCAGCTCCGACAACGTCGCCACGGTCTAGGACATCATCTTCACCACAGTCGCCAAGGCGCGGGTTGATGGTATGGACCGGAACCTGGAATGGAAAGACCAATATTTTCTTCGTGGACCCCGGACTGAAGGTGAGCGCTGGCGGTTACATCGAGCAACTCGTGAAGAATATCCTCCTCACATGTCGTCGCCCGTACCTTCTTGGAAACTTTGTACTGCTACAGCATTGGGTGCCACCACATGAAATCGAAGGGCGTTGGAGAAACTCTCGCCTACTTGGAATGGAAGGGGGCTGAGTACCTAAAGAAGATGGAATATCCAAGTAGGTCACCTGACCTGAATCCCCTCAATTACCCGGTTCGGGCGGAGTTCAATAGGGTGGTCTACGGTGGCGGAGAAATCGACTATCTCGCTGATCTCAGGCACCACATCGCGGTCGCGTGCCAGAATCTCTCGATGGCGCTCGTCCAGAAGGCTGTGGCGGAGTGTAGTGATATTTTCACTTTTCACCACCATATTAAAGAGCATTTAATATGCTCTTTAATATGGTGGTGAAAATATCCGATCAGAATTTAATAAAGTGTAACTTATAGTAACGCCTCGAAAGTCAATGAAGAAAAGTGACTTTTTTGGCCCCCTCCCTGGAGTCTTGATAGGATCGAGATACTTCAAAACCGTGCTGTGATCTCTTCTTATCTCTTTCTGTGGGAAATGCCGTAGACTCCAATACACTTCAAGGCAGAAGGCAGTTGGCACGATAATCTGAAACTGTCTAAAATGGTTGCGAGAGTGCTAGGTAGTGGGAGAGTGACGAAAAAGCGAGGCGAAACGGTCGGGAACCTGCTGAAAAAGCCTTTGTTCTACACGACTCAATAAGCAATTTCGGACGAGTTTCCCATTGGCATCGTGCCAATAACCGCTACGGTAGATACGGCTGCATGTATGTACTCATATATCCATGCAGCACCGCAGCCGCTTCATATCAATCCCTTCGCTTCATACTGTACTTCGCAAATGAAGCGATACGAGCATCAGCATCGGTCGGACATTTGTGGGCGGGGGCGCGGTGGGCGTCCGGTCGGTATGTTGCAGCTTGATAGGGCGCTATAAGGGTACCTTCCTTGGAAAAGGGCTATCCAGCACCTGCTCAAGGCGCGGAATCCTGTCCTGTCAGAGGCGCGGAATCCCGTCCTGCTGGGCGTATTAGTCCTTACATCTTAGAGATTTATCGTTGCAACTGCCTTCAAGTTTGCATATTTATGCGAGTGAGTGTTTATTTATATTTATTTATATTTATTTGTATTTGTTTATTTATTTATAATGCACGCATAAGTACGTTACACTGTCATCGATATACATCGGGTTATAGAATGAAAAATACGACTTAAAAAAATTTCGTCCATGCAGGGAGCTCTGGGGACATCCGTTGCTGGAATCAGGGCTTTCTCCTTTCCAACTGGTCCGGTGAAAGAAATTTCGAATGGGTAAGCCCATGGTTACCCACCAGTACATGTAGGTGCAAAGTAGAGCCACCAAGCACTGCACTTCCTTCATCTAAACTTCCTTCACTTGTGTTGTGTACAGCATAATTTCATATTTCATCCTTAATCAGTATTCGTTCCATGAAAAATTTGAAGTTTATTGTCACAAATGGAGCTCCTAGCCTCGAACCGCGACTTCTTTAGAAAAAGAAAGAAAGCGGCCAGAGTGTCCTGTCATAAAACCTCAGAAGTGAGAGGAGATGAAAGATATAAGCATAGCGGCCAAGAAGAAAAGCCAGAGAATCCAGTACCTGTCAGTATCAAACGTAAGTCTACATCAGTTTGACATAGGAGGACTGGTGCCGTTTGGACGCACTCAGTTTTGGCTGCTGTCTCATATGTAAAGTGCCTAGCTCACCAAATCCGTAGAAAAGCATACAGGGGTTATTTAAATCCTGATTCCGGATATGACATTCATTTTTGGCGCTGGGGCTAATGGAGGACACTGCGATTATCTTCTGGGCTCAGCCTTAGCAGAGGCGCAGATAATCGTAGTGTCTCTCCATTAGCGCAGCGCCAAGAATGAATGTCATATTCGGAATCCGCCCCCCCCCTCAGGACTTTAAAAACCCTGGCATGCAAGTTTTCTAGCAGATTTGTCATCTAGGCACTCTCCAACTGAGCCAGTAGGCCAAAACTGAATCGGCGTGAGAGGCATCAGCCCCATACACGGGCCGCATTTAGGGCAAGAGTCCATATGCGCGATACACCTTGGATTTTCAAGCGGCGAAAACGCAAACATACGACCGCAGCAACAACAAGCAAGGACCAGCTTAATGTGACAATAAAGTTCAGCCTGTAGCTTCCGATGCACAATATTGAGGGTATTTCGTAAAGCTCCAAATTGAAGTGATGCTTCTTCTTTTTAATAGGTCACCTAAAATGGGGATCCAATTTTCAACGGAATGATGTCTTAATGGATTTCAGTGCAAAGCTCTCAATGTCCCCCAAGGCGCCGACGAATCAACGAAAAAAGAGCAGTGGGTTCACGGAAGCCGATCGGCGGCTGGCTCGAGCTCAACAGCTTATGGATGCTGACCTCGAACAGCACACCGGTCCCTGTATCGGAGGAAGTTGCCACCCTCATCGAACATCGCTAGCACCAACGTTCAGGCTTCTATTCGAGGAAAGCGCGAGGAGAAACGTCGTGAAAGTGGCGATAGCGAGAAAAGTGGTAGATTGTTTTGACTTGCTCTAGAAGAGTAGCAGCACTGATGAATTTTTTTCCAGAACATGCTCGTCAAAAACCCCAGCCTGTTCCGGTCGCTCCTGTCGGCAACACAAAGAGGTCCACGTCGCGCAAGTAATTTCGGCGACTCCTCATCAGCAGTGTCCCCTCCACCATCCATGTCACTCACTCACCCCGCACGTCAGCTTCACCAGCTTCGTACAACATACCCACATCAAGTACCTTAGGTTCTTCTAGCCAATATCGAGGCCATCTGTGATTCCGGTGTCCGCGGTCCATCCAACAGTTTACCAAGCACCTATCACCGGAACTGAACCCATTCCTATTCCGGTAATGCTGCCTGTCATTCCAACTCTTATACCCGGTTTAACGTTACCAATCGGTGGGATGGACATGACAAATGTTTCTTTGGGAGCTTTGGCAGAGTACTATGGTCAGATCAGTGCTTACGACGACTCGAATATCCCTCTCCTTCTACTAGCACCCCTGCGTATTGGCATCAAGTCCGCGGGAATGATCGAGCGGTGATTGCATTACTTTATCGTTTCTATCCAAACAATAATTGTCGTTGAAAAATTTGTACTTACAGGGTGAATTACGAGAAATGAGTGCCGAGTTTGCCGCCCGTACTCGGCGTCGCAGCGAAAGTGAACAAAGTGTCGCGAGTGAGCTAAGTGCTGCTCCTGATTGGCTTGATGATGTGTCAGGCGCCAGGTGTTGTTCATCCTTCAACTATAAAGTAATTGTTTTTTTCGGCCACTGAGGTAAGGAAAGGCCTGGCTATTTTTTTAACTTGAAAATAAGTGGCAGCAGAAATAAGTGCACGAAGATCTCATGACGCCCAAAACGAAATAATTGCATTGGTATTCTTTCAGCAAGCTTTTTAGCTAATTTTTTTGAACGTAGAACATCACTCATAATCACTGCCTTTATTCAGTGGGAACTTCGGAGCAAGTTAAACGTGTGAGTGCTGTAAGGCTACGGCATAAGCCGTTAAGCTGAGAGGGTAAAAGCGGCCCTGGTGGCGTAACGGATAGCGCACTCGCCCGGAAAGCGTGAGGTGCGGGTTCGACTCCCGCCTGGGGCACGACTTTTGCCCACAACTCAGCATTCTTGTGATAACATTCGGAACGCGTACTGCGGCGTTAAACAGCAGTTATCATAACAAAACAGCTTCAAAAACTTCGGAGCCTCCTGAGCACGATCGCGACATAAACTCTTTGGAGCAAGCGTTGCACTCACCTTCGTGTATTCTGGTCCTTGCCAAGTGGAGGTGAATTTGTCCTCAGCGTGCCACTATCTCCGCGAAAAGTACACGGGAACGGAGCTTGGTAGCATCTCGCGACGACGCCCATGCTGCCGCAGTTCAGCCACACGCCTAACCATAGCCGAACACACTAGTTGTCTACGCTGTATCTCTTCTGGTTCTTCTTTTTGACGGCTTGTTCGATGCGGGATTTTCTTACCCATGCGGTGCTGCACCTTGACGACAGCGCGGGCGGATAGTCCATTTTAACAGTTTTCTTGCAAAGGAGTACTTCGCACCTCGAGACCAAGGATTTTGTTGGAGTGAAGAGTCGATAAATGGAGGCGTTCTATCGTAAATATTTTTTAACTCGCTGTGGCAGTCCTAGTCCTTTGAGAATCGTGTTCCAAACTCAAATTCTGTAAGGGGTTCTGAGTCCGTTATTCAATTGTAGAGACGCGGTACTTTCAGACGATGTGGATGACGACTTTTCGGCCATGGCAGCGGCAAGCGAATTCATGATGAGTGCGAGTGGTGAAGATGGTGGTAGTAGCAGAGCTCAAACACCACAACCAGCTGTACGTCATCCATCCAATGCTCAGCTACAACAACCACAACAACAAAAGAGACGAGGTCGTCGAGACAAACGGCGTCGAGGTGGAAGGAACAGTGGAAACGATGGCGCGAGCAGTAGCGACAAGGTTTGTTGTGAATGAAAATATTGTGTAGTTAGTCATTCCGGAAAATGTGCCTAGTGTGCGCAGTGGGCTATGTTTCGATTTCAATAAGTGAATCATTGGTCTGTTATTCTCGCCGTATTTAGTCGCAACGTAGTGCGATTGGCGCCGAGCGTATTCCAAAGAAAACCCTGGCTGCACAGTTGAACGAGGAACGACGTCGTCGAGAAGATGAGTACTTGAGGAGCAACAACGCAGGTAATGAAAATGTGGCTAAGGATTTTCTGAAAGCTTCGAAGGCGTGATTTGTGCAAACGTCTCCATCTCATGTCCCTTCGAGGTGGAGAACTTATTTGGCTTTCCGGCTGAAAAGAACATTTTTGTGGTGCTAGCGACTGCAAGTGGTCTGGAGCTCACTCCGCCTCATCTAGCTAACCCTGCCCCTCGACCTGTGCGAAAACTTTGCCTCTACCCCGCTACAGGGCCCACCGCTTTATAGATTCTATTGCTCGACGTGCCCAAAGAAACGGTGTTTCTCATTCGCAGTTTTGTTGTGTGTCTACGTTGCCAGTGAAGGTTTCCAAATGAAATGCCATGATCAAAGGCCGTGGGCCGTGTATATGGCAAGAGAATCGTAGTTCGCCGCGCCAGTGGGCGTCGCGTGCGATGTCGCGCCTGCCAATGGCGACTATTT